CCATATAGGTATAACCAGAGCTCCGACTTGGTTCTTTTATATGTACAAGATTAGCTTGCCTGCCTCTATGAAATTACCTTCTTTAGCTAGTTGTTCCACAGTGCCAGAGGTGCTTCTTGTTTAGGTAAAGCCAATCCTTTACCACAGCCCTTTCACATGTTCGCCGCTTCTCTCACCATTCCAGTTTCGGTAGTATTGTATTACTCTCCCAAGCAAGTACCCAGCACTATTTCTAAATTAGGACTAATGTGCACGATCCATTGATCATCCTTTCAAGCAAGTACCCCACAAGTTGGATGCAAGGATGTTGGTGTTACCTAATATAGAGGTGAAGGGATGTTGGTGTTGCCTCTAAGTCACCCCAACCAGAGGTCTAATATGTGCAATCTTCTACAGCTTAGACCTTCTGTGATACCGCTGTTACACATGATGCCTGCACTCCATAATTAGGGCTCCTTTTGAGAATTCCTATTCCAAAACCGTATTTGCACTTGGACTTTCTACAGGGCTTCGCATCCGATTATGGCTCCATTTTAAGGTTACAGTAACAAATTCGAAAATTTGCCACCAGCCTAACTCGAATCGTCGACCTTGTCTGTGGGGGGTTTGGGAGCTTAACCAATAAGCTATGGGGCCCAAACCTATTTTTTTGATTTATTGAGGGTTCATTATCAAGAAGAATTTAATGAATATGCATCAAACCCATTAGATTATTTTAAAACCCATTAGATTATCATCTAATTTCTAGCTTGAACTTACTAAAACATACTATTTGTCATTGTTGTATAGTATTCAACAAAATAAATTTTCTATCTCAAAAATGATGTAGTTAATTGTCTAATGAGCTACTAGATTGTGCTCATCTTCCCCAGTATTACCAACAAAATTTTTACTATCACGTGATGTCTGACAAAATTCTTTAAGTTCGTTTATATTAAGATTAGAGCCTATTTTAGTGTTAGTGTTAAGGGTAGGGTGTACAAATTTCTAATTTCATATAAAATAGATTGTATATCAACTTTGTATAATAAATTTTATATGATATCATATGATTTACATATAAACATTATATGATTTGACCAATCAGAATTAGCAATTTCTTTGTACTACCTAGGAAAAACATATAGCGATCTAGAAAAATTTAGTTATATGTGAAGTTGGGGGTTTTTTTTAAAGCAATGCATATTGCACAACTTCGATATCATAAATAAACTGTTTAAATTACATATTATATAAATTTTATACAAATTGGTTAAGATATTAAAAAGTTTTATTAGAAGCATTTTTTTATTTACTATATAAAAATCTAATATACTACGTAGATTATATGAAAAATTATCTACGTACATCCTACCCTTAAGGGTTCTAACAGTAAAATCGCTCAAGAAAAACTTTTTATTAATGCGTAGAAGGTGGTTTGCTATGCAAATTGAAATACAAGCGATTTTTGACAAAACAAACATTTGTTTTGAATTTTTCTGATTACATGACATTACACCAAATCGAGATTCATTATTGGCTTATTTTCATCAATCATCACATGATGGTAAAAATTACATAGAAATTATAGAAATTTTGTTGGCGATCCTAGGATAGTTGTTGTGCTCAGAATGATCATGTGATTGCTCAGAAATCAAACCAAATGATCCAACAATCATTAATGATCTCAATGATTAACTATCGCTATACTATACTAATAGTAATTTCTTTATATTTCGCTTCATATTTCACTTCACACTTTGCTTCACACTTCATTTCACATTTCATATTTTGCTTCATATAAATAACAAAAAAAATTAATAAAATTCAATAATAATAAAAATACAACCTGATTCTTCAACTTTGCTGATTTATTTACTCCACTCCAAACAATTTTTTCACCCAATAATTCTTATAAAGTTGAATATTGACAGCTTAATGTAGTTTTAGATGTGGATCTTAATAGTAACAAAGGTGCCTTAAATCGGCTAAGCAAATTTCAGAAAATATCAAAGACTACTATGCAGCTAACCAAAACCTTTATTGTCAATGAAAATAAAGTAATAAAGTTATTTTTCGAGGAAAAAAGATACTGTATATAGACAACTATTTGCTAGTATTAAAAAAATTTTAAGAAAGAATATGAAAAAGCTGAATCTTTATTATTGGACAAACTGGCTTCTTATCTTTATCAACGGAATTCTACTATAAAGGCCGAATCATTACTATGTGGAGCAAAAATTCAAGTGCAACCTGCATCATTACAGTGAAGAGAGATAAGATTTTTCAAGAAAATGTCGACGAAAGCACGTAAAAAAAGAAAAACTTTCGAAAAAATGCATAATTTATCAAAAAACATTAATGCAAATAAACAAAATTAATAATGTAAAAAGTTTTTAACCTTTTATAAATGTTACGTATTATTATGTATTGTAATATTTACGCGAAGTACATAATTAATGAAAATAATTATATGTAATTAACCGTGTGCTAAATCAAACTTCAAAAAATTTTCCGGATATTCATTCCGAACTGTCATGTAATCATTCGGAGCGCAACCTGATACTAGGGCTGTGAAAAAGCTTGTCGGACCCGGTCCTTGAGTCGACTAGACAGTAACTTTTTAGAACCGACTCAGATCGACTTCAAACAAAGTCCGTCTGCATATCTTTTGTTCTGAGAATTGTTCATTTTAATTGGCTAATTTACGTTGTCAGGCAAAGTCCGATTGCATGTCTTTTGTTCTGAGAATTATTCATTTTGATTGGCTAATTTACGTTGATTCATACATAATTAGAATACTGCAAACTTGACTCAAGGATCGACTCTAGGATCAGGTCCTGATCAAAGTCCCTATTTGAGGAGTCCGGATGGATAGGATCGGACTTTTAACAGCCCTACCTGGTACACATTTTCAGGTTGCTTGTCAAATAACCTGTTACATCATCAAAAAGGTTTAGGGTACAGGTTCTCTCTTTTGCATAGAGGCGCATATTGGCCCATATGAGTTATAATTAATAGTTATATATAGATATCAAGAATACAATTTATGCAATTTGTAGGTCAATACATATGTACTGTAAATGTTAATATGTAGGCACTGTTTCAGTAACTGCACGGTGATTGTTTTTAGCAAATAATAGGGTTTTTTTTTAATATATATTCAACATTTGTTCGAAAAGTGAAAAATTTAAGCGCATAGTCTGAGCAATGTAGCTCAGAGTGCATAGTCTAAGCAGTGCAGCTTAGAGTATGCGCTGAGAAATAATAATAGTAGTAGTAGTTATACAATCGTTTTAATTTTGTGAAACCTCCTATTTCCTAAGAAAGTTAATCTGTGAAACTTAATTTCCCAAATAATTTCTTAAAAGAGCAAAAAAACAACACTAAATCTCTATAAAAAGAATTTTAACGTAGTACCAAAAGAAAATGATTATTTCTGTGTGCTAAATAAATAATAATAAAAAAAAACGATTATTTCTGTGCGCTAACTAACTAATAATAAATGTAGCAGATCATAATGAAATCAGATTATAATGAAATTTAACTTATTTTATATACGATTTTTAAAAATTTTTAGGACCTTTTTAGTTAGGTTTTTTTTTATAGTTAAGTTAGGGTTTAGGGTTAGAATTATTAGGAAAAGAGTATAAGTGGATTTTGGTAGAGCTTATATCTTTAAATTGAGACTCCTAAATTTCACAATGATCTGATTTCATTATGATCTGCAACAATAAATAATAACTAACTAATAACTAAAGAGAATTTTAACATAGTACCAAAAGAAAACGATTATTTCTGTGCGCTAACTAACTAACTAACGATTATTTCTGTGTACTAATAAAATTATTTTTTTGGTTAAAAATCATGCATACAATTATAGAAATTATATATCGATATATATTTAAATTTCAAAATTTTATGCATACACTCTAAGTGCACACTCGTAACCATAAGTTGAAGCCAAGCTATACTGTAAGAATTTACATTGAGCATGCACTTATAGGACATGTGCTTAGAGATGTCTTACTGTATGCAGAATATAGGTGTTTAAATCCAAGTTTGCTACCAGGTTATAATATACATTTAAAAAAAATTTGGTAGAATTGGTATTATCAGCTGATTGTATATTCGAACATTTTAACATACACTGTTGATATGCGTTATAAAGTCGAATATTATTTTTCTTCATCTAAACATGAATCGATTTTACACTTGAGTACTATATAAATAACCAATTTATCATTTCTACTAAATTTACTTACTGTCAAAGAGTTAACAATGAATTCATTTAGGATAACATAACATTATAATTAAACCTAACTAAATAAGTAAAAAAAAAAAAAACTTATCTAATCCTCTGTCAATATATCTATCGTATTCACCTCAACTTCATCATGTAATCATACAAATCTTTTCCATACAGCATGTTCACTTTTGGCTTAACTAAATCCTTCGAACGCTTGCCTACCGGCGGTAGCTGTATCTCAAATATGCTGATTAACGGCTGTGTTGCTCGTTATAATACAAAAGTTAATAAGAATTTTTTCAACCAGAAACATGAACTTGTTCAGTTCACAAATGCATTCAGTAGCCCTATGCCGATGCTTCATATTGTTCTAGGTTCTCCTAGTACTGGGAAAACTGCCTTGGTTCGTGAGATAACGAGAAAAAAGATAAAGAGTAAAGACCAATTTAGCCCTCTTTTTATCAACTGTCGTAAAGGACAATTCGACACACCAGACAGAGTATATGATTCAATTTATTCACAATTCAGACTATTTTTTGATAAACATAAAGATTTCTTGAAGAGAATTGTAGAAGGACAATTCAGCATCGGAGATGTAGGATATCGACTTGGTGAAAGAGGAGCAACTACTTCTAATGATATCACAAGGCTTCTTGATAATATTAGTGCTCATCTTCCAAACTGGTCCATTTGGAATGGTAACAATATACCTCCACCTATTTTGGTTATTGATGAAGCGAATATGTTTAGCCAGCTTGCAGAGAATGATAAAAATCTTCTTAAATCAATTCTGAACTGGCTGGTGGTAAATACAAAAGAAGAAAAACGCTTCCACACTGTGCTTACCTCTTCTGACTCATTCTTTTTTAACTGGATCGTCAAGCGTAAATCCATCTTATAATTATCTTTAATAACAATATAAGGCTTATAATTCTCTAATCCACATTTATTGCCTAGTATTACATATTCCACATGCAACCCCATATTTTGTTGAAGATTTGAGCAAGGAAGAAGCCGAAAAATATTTTGAAATGCATATTCTTCCTCAATATGGTATGTCTTTACTAAACCTGTCTATTTATACTTACTGTTGCTCACATAATGGTGTTTATTATTTAAAAAAAGAATGCAAAGAACTTGAAAGCAAATTTGACCAGGTTTGCAAAATAATAGGAACACGCATGATGATTATTGAAATATATGTCAATGAATACAAAAATTCTGAAGGAAAACTTGCAGGTATATGTTTGATTTTATTTTCTTTTTAAAGGATATGTATTCTTGTTAATTTAAAATTTTAATGCATAATTAATTGCTTTATAGATAGTCAATTTTCAGTTCGTGAATCAGAATATAATTGGTTGAAGCATGGTCTTAGTCCTAAGATCTTGGCATTTAAAAATGAACCTGATCCACCACTTTGAGAAGCTAAAGATTTAATCAAAACCATGGATGCAATAGTGAATGCAGAGGATCAGGGATACATCCTAGAAGATGTTTTAAATAAAGAAATTAGCGAAAAGAAAGTCAAATCACTTATAAAGTACAATTATTTGCACTGTTGGCCAACCTCATGATTTGCTAATGACATTGATGCACCACCAAAAAAAATAGTTTTAACTGCGATGAACCAACCATCAGTATGTGCAATAAAAGATATCCTAGAAGAAGAGCAACAGAACTAACACTATATGACAAAATATGAATCTTTTATTATATTTTTTAAGCGATAAAAGAAAATTTTGCTAATATTAATTTCGCCTATTTTTGTGTTTTTGTCTTGCTGAATTTTTCTATAGAGCTTAATTAGTTTAAATAGTATAAAAAGTAGCCAAACGGCTAAAATAAAAATGAAAGATATCAGAGTAGTAGATGTTTCAAGGGAGGAATAATGCATAAATATATACCTGCCCGCCCTTAGACATCTTTTACATAGTAAAAAAATGGCAGTTCCTTTTCACTACTCCGCATTGCTATTTAGTTTATTATATACCCATAAACTAATATCATATAAAGTAAATATACCCATCCTTCTTCTTGATATTTCTCTCATAAAACCCTTGAACCATAACCTACTTAATATTCCCACCTAATTCACAGATTTCCATTGCTACATGAAGACATATTTCTTCTAAGTTAAAATTTTTTTCTGCATTAATTTTATCAAAAATTTGCTTAAATTGGTTTTAGGCAGTAAGGCTAATATCTGTGAATGTTGTGACGCAACGAAGTTTCAAAATTAAACTTCAGTTGTGTAATACTTATACTTTGCATACTCTTTTGTGTAACTTTATAATAGTCTATGCGAAGTTTAAAGAACACTTTAATTAGACTTTATATTGTTATACTATATATCTTAGAGTAGTATATAGCCTATTTAGAGTTTATTTGTAAGCATATATAGAATATTGTGTATTTTAGTTAAAGATAAATCTTTCTTGAGTTTTGTATGTATTGAGTTGGACTTTAGTGCATTTGGAACGTACTAAGTTGGTTAAGAGGAATGGAGATAGTGGTACTATTTGTATCTGGGATACAATAAAGATATTTGTTTAGTACTTTAAAGTGCCTCGAGTTTGTAGATAAAATATTCAGTTTTTCATTTTTATGTTCACATTCCTGAACTAAATTGACGCTGTTGATAAAAAGTCTCTCTCCTGAATGTGACATCTTGGTGCCGATTGTGTGGATGAATAAAAACAAAATTGTATTAAATCAGCATATTGTGTGAATTGAATGAACGAAAGAGCAGAAAATAAAAGTCATTTTGTGTTGGAATACTACAGTGCAGGACAGCTAGAGATATTCAATTTTTTTTAAATTGCTATAACTTTTTTAAAACAAGATAAAATAAAAATCTCTCTTTCAAATTTGTTGTTTTTTATTTAAAAAACAAATTTGAAAGAGTGATTTTCAAAATTTTTAATTTTAAAAAAGTAGTTATAATTTAAAATTTTTGATTTTTAAAAATTTGGCACGTATATATAATTTTAAGAATTTTGATTGGTTAAAAATTTATTTTTTGTTATTTTTATCATAAAAATTTTTTAAAATTTGGCATATCACAGAAAAAGTAGATATCTTTAGCTGTCTCTCACTGTATAAATAAAGAAACAAAAGCTGGATCAGCTTGTATTAACAAAACTTTTAAATAATTTGGCTGTGTTAAGGAAAATTAATTAAACAATTCTGTTTGCATTGATATAAATTGAACAAAGGCCAGATCTATTTTATGTTAAATTAAAGTTACAATAAATACTTGGAATTTTAATTAGGATCAAATGAATAATGACGATCTTGATCAACCAATAAGTCTGACTCATATGAATCTGCCATGTAAATAACTCCAAACCATGATGAATATTTTGGCAAAGCAATAAGAATCTCAATTGAATATGTAGGAACAGAACTTCATGGACATATCTGTTTTACTGGAAGTAATCAAGACTCTATAAAATAATTAGAGGCCATCGATAGGACATTTGAGGCCAACAATATTGTGGGAAAAAGAAGGCTTTCTGTTGTTGGTGCTTACTTTTTGAGACTTACAGCGTTTTGGTAGATAAACCAAAGGAATAAGGAATCGAAGATTTAATATTAGAATAATGAATTCGCCTCTAAACAAACTTTGTGCATCAATTTTAGACAAAATTTTATACATATACTTTAATAACTTAGTGGAATACAGAACTTTTGACACAAAAGCAATGTATAAACAAAATGGTAGATTAATATGTTGACATTATTTTGATATATAATGAAAGTAGACAATCAATACTCTGAGATAATAAAGGCACAGATGTTTGTACAAGGCTCTATCTCGATTTGTCTTTGGCCGTTGAACCCTTTATGTCTAATATGATTCAAAAGGCTATCATAGAGCTTGGGTGTATGAGCTAATATTTAGCTATGGATTAGTTCTTTGTAGACCTGCAGCAATTTATAATACTATATCTGGATCATTACCTTAACAAGTGTATTCACAGCAACAATGGATATCACAGTCACAACAGCTTTTACAATCTTAAGTGCTAATATAACAATTGATGGTACTATAGTCACAATCGTTAGTAATAAATTCAGCATCCAATACAATAGCTCCAAATTTGGTAGATCAGATAATTTCTTTGTTACAAGAGGTGATAACTATGATAAAAGGTGACAACAATAATAACAATAATAATTGTTCTCATTCACTTAATAGTAGAAATCATAGAGATAGAGATAATCGAGTGTTTGTATGTTTTTTATATTAGCAGGATGGTTATTTCGCTAAAGAATATACAAATATGAACTATCAAAATGATAATAATGGTGCAAATAATCTGTCAGTACTCATAAACAATATCAATTATGAGAGGAATGTTAATAATATATCTGTAAATGAAAGATATCAGACTCAAGTCATATTAGTTCAAATAAAGAAGTTCAGACATTTAGATATACTTTTAGAGGATGATGACGATTATAATAATGATAAATCTCCATCTCAAAATGAATCTGTGGAAAAAACTGACCAAGAGAATAGAATTGGGATTAAAAAAGATCAATCTAAGGCATTTGCTTATTATCAAAAACTAGCAGACATTGATTATGAATTGAATATTCTTGACAATGGTTTTGACAATGATATTGGAGTAGAAGTGGACAAATATAAAGTATTTAGTAATCTTCAGGAACCTGCTGTTGCAGATTGTGCTGATAATGAAGTTGACATTAGATTCTGCTATCAGTATAAAACTAGTAATAAAAATGAAGAGCCTAAATTATTTGTCCACGATTGAAAATCTGCAGTAATAGAGAATAAAATCATTGAACACAATGTGTTCAAAAAGAATGAACATGAAGCTTTCGTTAAGCACCAGAAACTATGTAACAACTTAAATGAACAAAACATTCTTGGATAGTATTACCAAGATGGTATAAGTACAATTGATGAAAATTTGAATATAGAAACCTTAAATAAAAATGACTGTGAAATGTTGATTGATGATAATGGTAATAATAAAAAAAATGTAAAATGTAACCTACCTGGAAGACTCTTGAAAAAAGAAAACCTGCAACATGAATGTGAAAAATGGATGGAAAAAGTTAGTAAGTTCCAAATAATTACATAATTAGTAGAAAGACTACCAAAAATGAACTTACCGAAGAAACATTTAAAGGGATCAAGGTCGAAAAGGATAAATTACGTAGATTATACTTAATAAGTACTGTAGATAGTAAGTTAAATAGACAATTCGATCCTGGTGAATATAATAAGCAAAATAAAAAAGGCATAATAAAGTTTGCGAATCTTGAAGTAAAAGAATTAATAAGTTCAAAAAAATGGTCAAAAATAACCTGAGAGAAATAAAAACCTCATATCTGATTGATTATAAGAAGCACTCACAAATTGCCAATATGAGTAATATGCTTAATTTTTATGGAATTAGTTTTGAAAAGAAAGAATATACAACACTTAAATATTACTATATTAGCAAAATATATAAATGTAATCTTATATAAGATATTACAGTCTGTAATAATACACAAGAATTACGATTAATATGCAATAATATGCAATAATCGATTACAAAATATTATGCAAAAATATTATAAATATTACACAATATATTACAAATAATTTCAAATCATTTTAAAATAAATCACAATAGTTCGAATCAATTTAAATAATAATTCATTTTATCGAGAAAGAAATAATAATTTTAGAAAATAAATTAAATATTTATTTGAAAAATAGATCGAATTTATTTAAATCAATTTAAAATAAATCGATATAATCTAATTAAATATATAATAATCTGAAATTTTTTATTGCAATATTTATTTAGATATTTTGAAATAGTTTGAATTATGTTGAAATAATCTAAATTTATTAATTTTTTATAAAACGTTTACTATAAATTTTATAGCTTAAACCTCTATTTTATTAATAACTTTATTATTTTATTTAATAATTATATAAAGAAATATAAAAAAAATAAAGAAAAAAATGCAGTATTATTCGAATATAAAAAAAACAAACCAAAAAAAAAACTTTTACTCATCCTTATCCATAGCATTATTCTTCTTTTTCCTTTTATTATCATTTTTCTTATTTTTGTTATTATCATTATCACTTAAGGATGAAGAACCAGAAGATAAGGATATATTATTATAATCTTCTATTCTTTTTTTACCTTCTTCATCCAAATTTAATTGCACTTCTTCTGATGTTTATATTTATAAAAGTAAATTCGCATTAGTTCAAATTATTTTG